AAAAAATACTAATTAAAATCAATCAATTAATTATTATAAATTTATATTTTTAAGTAGAGTGCTATATGAAAATGTGTGATGTATAATAATATTAAAAGAAGCTAAGTGGACTTTTTGAGACCATGTGAGTAAGTGCACATTTTTGTGATTTTGCAATCAGTGCATTTATTGCAAATCATATGACGAGATAAAACATAATTTACTTTGTTTTATATTAAACCTTTAAGAGAATGAGATACAATTTATCATGTGTAAATTATATATTTTATAATTATTGATGAAAGGTGAGTTTTTTAATATTAGAATAATTTTCCTCCATTAATAAATATAAAATGTGCTGTTCATAGTCAGTAAATTGCCAGACTACAATCTCTAAACTTTTTACTGTTTCTTTGCATTTTACTGAGATTTTTCAGGAATCTTGTAAAATAATTTTTCTTACGTTTGTTAAATAGGTGCCTGCCTAACTAGTTTTAATGGCGTAAATCATTTTCTTTTTCTAAATAAATCTTTTAGCTTTATTGATCCTTGACTCAAACTCCATAGGTTCTAAGTGACCCCCAGAAAAGAGCTGTGTATGACCAGTATGGTGAGGAAGGCCTAATTGCTGGTGGGAAAACCTCTTTCTCCACACGAAATATTTCAACAAGCTCCCAGTTCAATCCACGAAACTCAGATGAATTATTTAAGATTTTTGGGTTGTCAGGTTCATCCTCTGTTGGCAATGGCTCAAGCTCCTCTACTCAAGTATTTGGTGATGACATTTTTAGTGGAGTAATGGGTAGAGGAGAACACAAAAAAGAGCCTCCGATTGAGAGGAGATTGCCTTGTAACCTTGAAGAGCTTTTTAATGGGACTTCTAAGAAGGTGAAGATCACCAGAGAAGTCATTGACATGAGAGGGTAAGTTCATTGACATGTAAATTCCTATAAGCATAGGAATGCACAATGGCCAAAATGACATTAGTTGACATTTATTCTTGCGAGTGCAGCAAAGTCTTGCAGGTGGAGGAGGTTCTGAACATCGACGTAAAACCTGGATGGAAGGTGGGGACAAAGATCACCTTCTCGGAGAAAGGGAATCAGAAGCCGAATGTCATTGCCTCAGACCTTATCTTCATTATCGATGAGAAGCCTCACGCTGTGTTCACCAGAGATGGAAACGAGTTGATTGTCAAAGAAAAGATTTCTCTGACCAAAGCCTTGACAGGTTATTCCGTTAGCCTCACCATGCTGGATGGCAGGTATATAACCATCCCAATTAACAATGTTATCCACCCAGGCTATGAGAAGGTCGTTCCAAGAGAAGGGATGCCGTTCCAGAAAGACCCTACAAAGAGAGGAAACTTGGTAATTAAATTCGACATCAAGTTCCCGACTAGCCTTACAGCTGAGCAGAAAGACATGATCATCAAACATTTGGGTCCCTAAGATCAACAATGTCAGTAGATAACAGCGTGAAAACACTGGTTCCTGTGAATACCTATGTATGCTTATGGTAACCATGTGAATCTTACGGAACTTGTTAATTATCTGAATTCTGCATGTCAAGTTTGATATGAACAAATGAGCAGACAATTTAAGAGCTATGCATTTCTATAACAATGAGTAAAGTGGAGGTGTTTTACAGTTGACCAGTTCCTCCAACAACAGTTGAAATACAAGGTTGTTGATGCCCCAAGAAAAAGAACTTCCTCAGCTTTTCTCTACTCACTGAAATCTGAGGAAGCTTCCGTTGAATATCCATATTGTTTTGGGTATGGATTGGAATCCTGACCATCTCCATCCCTGATTCCCTCTTCGTCAGAATTCTCATTCATGTATCCTCCCTTGAAGTTCCCTTGCTTGTCCTCTGGAACGTTATTATGGAGATTAAAGTTCCATTGCTCATCCTCTGCAACGTCATCAGCATATTCATCATCTTCATCGCCATCTACATTGTAATCACTTGCATCTAAGTCATCAGATTTGTCATTGAAACGACTATGTCTGGCATAGTCATCTGCCACAAGATCATCATACTCATCACCTGATGCTTGGCCATTTTCATCGCTGTACTCAGATCTTCCTGAACTGCTAGGATTGTCAATAGCCTTTGCTTGTGATCTCATTAAACCACCTCCATTCCAGTCATCCTTTTCCAAGCCACCAGATGATTTCTCAGTGATTTCTTTTGGGTAATCTCTTTCATTGACAATCTGAACCACTTTCTTTGCTGGTTTTGGCCTACTTCTGGTACTGCGGCGACCACGCTTGCGCCCTCCTCGTCCACGTGATTGCCCTTTCCAACCCAGCACCTGAACTAATTCGTCACTTTCTGTGGCATGTCTCTTACCAGATTCAGATCTTGGACCACTGACCCTTCTCTGAGATCTTCCACGTGTTGTTCGGCCACGTGCCTTTCCACGGCCTCGTCCACGGTTGGAACCAGAAAAAGCTGCATTGACCCAGTTTTCTTCTTGAAGATACTTAGCTTGATATGGAGTTGGAAGTCTTTCATCATCTTGAGTGCTCTTTGCCACAACATGTTTCGAGCGAAGCTTCCATGAAATAACAACCACAACAATCAAAAAAGAAAAAAGAAAAAAAAAAAGGAAAATCATAAACATAAGATCCATTGTTGAATTCTGGAAAAAAATGCAGAAAGGATACCTAAAAAAATAAAGAAAATGTATGGAACAGAGAACTTTAGTTTGCATCTCAAATCACTTGAGATAAATAGCAAAAATTCCATAACCATACTGTAGTCATCATAAATTCAGAAAGTACTTGGAGCACTCGGCATCATAAATTCAGAAAGTGTAGTATCAATGTTTTCTTTATCATACCTCTTAGCAGATTAAAGTTCTTGATACAATTTCCCCAAAGGAAATCTCACAAGCAAATACCAATATGGTGACTACACTCTGACACAAAAACAGTGGGATCTCATTTTTCCAGAATTACAACCATTATATGCATGCTAGACTAATTCATAAATCATAACATGCAAAAGATTACTCACCATGAATTCTCCAACTCCCTTGTCTTCCTGAGAATCAACTCTCTGATCAAGTGTGTATGATATGGATGCATCAAACTCCGAGAGTCTTAGAGCCACAGCAGCTGTTGTTTGGGGAATCCAAGGAAGTATGGTGACTGCTCCAAGATTGGAAACATTATCTGATGGGTTAGATGAAGGCAACAATTCACTTGTTGTCTCATAGAGTGATGATAAATAGTCCCTCTTGATAGACTCCTCCAGCAGTGTCAACATCTGAGAAGTGCAAAAGGGTACATTAAAACCATCATTTAAGTTCAGCAAAGTTAAGGTAAATGGAAATAAAAGATTGTGAAAAAACAGAAAGGCATCCTACTCCATTTGGTATGTGTACAAACATTCAAGCAAGAGAAATAACCACCATGTTACAAGGACATCAAAAAAAAAAAAAAAAAATCAACAACAAAATTCTGTTATCAGTGTTGCAAGGATATCTCTCCTATTCAATATCTCTCAACTTTCAAACTTCTTTCCATTCAGTTTCATGCCTGTTCTACCATTACCCTATCTCATAGATAGCGGCTGGCTACCAAAGACTCATCCCACAATTGATTTATCATCCCTTCCAACCGTGACTGAAAGATGGATTTCGTATTAACCGCAATGCAATATAGTTAATCCAATAGCAGACAGAAAAGGAAGGAAAATAAAACAAGAAAACTTGGCCTTCTAGACCAAAAATAGTGATTTCAGATAAGCATAAATATGAACCTGGAGAAGCTCTTCTACTGATGTTGAGGAGTGCAATTTCACACCCCAAGCTTCTCGAGAGCCATCAGTCCAAAAAGGTTGAAGAGCTTCTGACGGAACAGAAACCTGCCAAGCAATAACACAGAATTTCAGATTACAAAAGCCACATCATATGTGAGTCAGAAGATAAAAGGATACAGCGTAAGCCATTTTGGGAATAATAAAACAGATTTACATAGAACCCCCAACCCCACAAAAAAGGCAACTTATAGTAAAAAGGAGAGGCACTTGCCTCAACCAAAGCTAACTGCACTTTAAGCAATTTCATCCTCAGAGGAGAACAGACTGAACCATCCAGAGTAGAAATAGGGTCCATTTGCAGCTTCGCTGAACACCGAGCTGCATGCTCAGTAAAATATAAATTGCTTTTTGAGGCCCCATAGGTCTCATGGCAAGACTGACAATGGTTATCTTCATAAAAATAAATGCCATGGCAGTAATCACATATTCCCAACAGCTCCTTGCACCTTTTCTTCCCATATTTCAAGGCACGTAATGGTGTTGAACTAACCCACATCCACTTCTCAAAATCTTCATATCTTTTCAATGCATCACGTTTCTCCTTTTCATTCCTTCCCAGCTCAATTTGAAAAGAAGTTGACGTCTCTGAGATATCAGAATCAGAAGCATATATCATTCTACTAGAAACCATTTGGTTGGCTTCTATTTTAATGCTTTCCTGGTTTTGCATCTCCACATTACCATGCAGCTCATTCCTCCTAACAGCTTCCCTGAAGGACACCTCAATCTTCTGCAACATTGAATGCAAATGGGATTCTCTGACCCCACGGACATCCAAAAATGCCAACAGTGCATCAAAACCCTGCACATAGACTGGAAATATGAGGAAAGCCAACATTGCACAATGATACCAAGCATAGAAGAAAATTAGAGGGACATAAGAACAAGAAGTCTAGGTTTCTTGTCGATGGTAAAACAAGAAGAACCATAATCCTGCAAATGGATGCAGCCATTCACATGGGAACACTTGTTTATAGTATATGAAAAGACTCAGAGAGAAATGCTACCTCTTTAGTATCAATGAGCCTCCAACGGCCATCATGTAACTCAACAAAGATCCTGCCACAGCCAGGATCATTCAAAGATGTAGAAGTAATAAATTGCCAGTAACGGTTCCGTCTTCGATCCTGACCAAGTGGCAATGACCTATGTACATACATCTCCTCTGCTTTGTGACCAATGTAAGATTTCAATTGTAAGCGTGATCTTTCAGCGGCATATCCTGATTGGTGATATGGGAGATTGTCTGGCCCAGCAGAGATATCTGGGATCAGCAAGCTTCCCTCTGGTGGCATATTGTTTAAATAATTGTGATCATTTTGTGGATCATTCAGTCTTTCTTGCTGCACAGTAGGTTCCAATGACGTCTGAATATTTTTTTCACAAGCAGTGATAAGCAGGCTTTCCCTACATTCAGCCGAGGGACCTGTAAGGCTAGGCTCTATCTTGTTACTCACATGTGATGAAAAATTTGTCCGCACCACAAACTCTTCTTTAAGACGTCGCTTATCAAGTTGTGCCTCCACCCACATTTGCTTCTTTAAAGCATTTGCTGCTTCCAGGCGTTCCTGAAATGAAAGTCAATCAAGACCACCAACAAAAGAGAGCAAGAGAAAAATTACATAACTTCAACAAACAAAAAAACAAAAATGCCACCTCAAGAACAACTCTAACAGAGTTTCCTTCAATTGCCACACCAATCAAAGTAACAAGTGCATTAAGGCGCTCCTCCACACTCAGATCAGTGTATTCCCCTTCCATAAGTCCTTGAACCCAGGGTTCACCAGGGTTGCTTTCATCAATGTCTGTGTCTTCTTGATTGACATTAGTTGCATCATTATGTATCACAGCTGCATCAATAGAATTAAGCGCTCCAATATCCTTTACCTCATTGAAACCTTCAGGATGTGTTGATGACAACTCCTCACTTCTATTCCCAACTTCACCTTGCGAAGCTTCTAAAATCCCATTCCTTACACTCTTATTTCCATTTTCCCGGGTAGTTTTTACATTGGAACTGCTATTTCCCTGAGAAATGTAAGCCTCTTTCTTGGGCTTTAACCCAGCACCTAAATCATCAGCCTCAGGATGCTCTGCTATATCACTTTCAGAATCATCATCTCTTTCAGCATCCTCTGCATCTTCTCCTATTAATCCACTCTTAAATATCCTTACTCTTTCTTTGGCTGAAGAAAGTATGGACTCAGCATCAGCTGGATCCTTCCTATATGGAGAACGCACACAATATGTTGAAGGAGCTGTTCTCTCAAAAAGTTTTGTATCTCTTGACAAAGCAGCAGCTATGGAAGCTTCTGGCGTCTTGCTAGTCGTAAGATCCCTTAGTCCAGATTTCTTAGATAATGAACCAGAAAAGACAAGCAAAAAAAAATAAGAAGAAGACAAGAGTCAGAAAAATCAATTGAGTCCAGGGCAGCTTTAAACCTGAATTTTCTCTGCAACTTCTAGTATTGTGAGGCCCCTACTGCCCTCAAGAGAAAGAACATGAAATGCTGCAAATTTAACAGTTCCAGGCGTCAAGCAATGCCTAGACCTGCGCTGATTACCAAAACCTCTTTCTTGCATTATAGCAACAGCATTTTCAGCAGCTGCTCCATTTCGCAAATTAGAAACAATATCTTGCCCATCATTACCCTACAATACAAATGAAAAATTTTTTAAATTGGAAAAATAATAAAAAAAAATGTTAATTTTAAGAGATAAAATATTAAGCACATCAAAATAAGTTATTTCGTAATGAATTTCCATTAAATATAGCAGATTATTGGTTTGTAGAAAAATAAGAAATATATAACTCACTTCAGTATCATTCAGAAGGCATGGGCTGGATTATGCTCAAGTGTTGACAAACTAGACCCTTAGATTAAAATTCTCAAATTAAAAAAATAAAATAAAGACATCAAGAAATAACCAACTTATACACCATAATGTTTTACCAAATCCAAAGAGAAGACAGCTAAATAACCAGGGAAGCAAAAAGGACATAAAATCTTTAGCACAAAAAAATGAAACAAAATGGGCATATGACAACTCACTAAACTACCAGAACAAAATGATGAAACGTGAAAGATAATAAATAACAATATGCACCTCATTGTCATCATGAAGATATGCCTGCTCAATGTTTCTTTTCTTTAGTTGCGGCCCAAATCCAGCAGAGAGAGCAAACTGTCGTAAAATTTCAGGCCATGTCAATACACTTAAGTGGCGCTGCCAACTACGAATATCAAATCCCCAAGCATATGCCTGACACAATTCCAAGTAAAAAAAGGAGAAAACATGAGATTGGGAAACATATTTAAGCTTCAAATAGCTCTGAATTACCCTGTAACAACCAAAGAAATAATAGCTTACCCCTTCAACAATCTGAGGGTGCCCACCTCCAGGATTAGCAGCATTATTTTGGTTTGTTCCTAGCCCCAGGGAAGGTGTCCGTGCAACATCCTCGATATCTTTAATGATAGATCTCAGAAGAGCAACATGTATCTCACCCAGCAACCTTGGATCCTGAAAATCAGAGAATATAAAACACGAGTCAACATCAAAGAATATAAACCAAAGTGAACGTCAACTTAGCACTCCAATATAAGGATTTCATTGAAAGGAAGAGAGTCTCACATGGAAAAGGAAAATGACCACTTACATAATCATGAAAAGCTTGGACAAACTCATCCAGAGTAAAAGGCCAAAGCCCAAGAATGTCTGCAAAAGTAATCAAGAACCTCCATACCTGGAACATTTTAAATCAAAAGTTCAAAACACTCAGAAGGACAATGCTTAGCCATGCAATTGATGGTTTCATAACCAGAATTAACACATAGTTCATTTTAAACCAAGCCCAAGGACAATGAAATCAAAAGAAAGCCATAAAAAATCAACAATTTTAAAGGTCAATCACACATGAAACAGAATTTAGACCAAGAAAAAATGCAAATACTAACTAACAAGATTAAAAAACCTCATTTACATGGCAAATGAGGCTAATTAGGAATTCATCAGAAATAAAGCCTGCTAAGTGAAAATTATGTTGTTAATTTTGAGAGGGAGCAAATTGTAACATTATACCATAATAGAATTTAGGACTTAAAACAAAGTAGAATTGACATAAACAACAGTTGCCTGATACCATTAGATTAGAAATTATTATTAGATGGTTGCATCCATATAAAAGTAGAAAGAGAACCAGCACAGTCCAAATAATAATTAAGAAAAAAAAAAAAAAAAAAAAAAAAACTTCTCCCCAGCACTTCATATTATACCTTATAATGAAAAACCAAAGAAAACAAAAGGAAAATAACTGCTTAAGCTCACCATAAGAAGATCCCCAATGTTCTCCTCAGAACCGTCCCATGGCTGGACTGAGAAAGGTCTTTTCAACTGAACAGTTTTGGGAGGGAACTTGCACAGCTTAACTAAAACATGGACATAATAAGCAAAGCAACATAAGCAGTTGCTTGGATAGAAACCAAACAACAGAAAGCACAATAAGAAAAGAAATTGCAAGAGATTAGAATAAAATATATTAGGCAAATAAGTATGACAGAAGAATAAGTAACAAAATGTTTGAATTTGGGCAATAATACAGAGAGTAACTCAACTAAATATATCAAATGCAAAATAACGCCGTATGAAATAATATTAAATTTAGGCTGTTATTAAATACACACTGCAAGTTACTTCTACACCATCATGTGAGGCTTTTTATTCCTCAAATCAGGGAAATCATCACAAATAAAAGATAACCTCTGAAAACTAAACATTTAGGCTTGAGAGGGAAAAATAGGTAACTGTGCACCTCAAACATCGCAAGTCAAATATGACCTACCTCTAAACAAATCAAGGTTTTGCAAAGTTTCAAAGTCAAGAGATAGTGTTGAAGGCAGCCCTTTGCTTGATGCAGCTAGCTCCATGAGCTCCAAACGTTCATCATCAATAAGTTCCATTGATTCTTTAGCAAGTCTACGAGCAATAGCTCTCTCATTAGCAGCTTTAAGCCTCGCTAATTCCTTTTCCTTGCGCAGCTCTTCTTTTTGTCTCATTTTTTCAGCCTGAAAACAAAAAGAACAGAATTATATATTGACTGCCACATGCTAAGGCATAAAACAACTCAAGCATGGTTCTTAAATTTACCCTCATAGACTCCTTCATCAAGAACTTCTCCCTCCGCTCTAGTTCACGCCTTTGCTCTCTCAGGTATCTCTCCTCCTCTCGCTGCTTGTCTCGTAAAAGCCTCTCCTCTTCCTTCCTCCTTTCACGGTCACGCCTCTCCTTTTCTTTCCTTAATTGCTCCTCTCTCTTAGAATACAAAGAGAAGGTATCAGTACATAACATACAAACCTCATAGGAAAAAATACAAACAGCAAGCTAAACCTTTCGCCTTAAGATATCTTGCTTTTCAAGCTCTTTTCGGATCCTTTTCTCATGAGCTTCAACTTCACGTGCTATTCTTGCCTCTTCACTCTGTAACAGTTACATAATCATCAGGAGATACCATTTAAAGTTAAAGCTGTGATATTATTTATAGCAAACTAACAACTAAGATACCTTTCGCTTCCTTTCCACTCGCAAAGTATCCTCATCTAGACTGGATCTCCTGTCAGATGATACAAATGGGCTTTCCAATGCAGCTATTGGGAGAGTACCAATATTAGCATCAACAGAAGTATTTGTAAAGGAGTTCCTTCGTGAAGCATTATCATATTCTACAGAAGCAGTTGGCAAGACATTCCCCTTCCTGGCTTGTTGAGGCAAAAGATTCAAATTTGGCATGTGACCAGAAACACCATATGTAGGGAGCATATGTTCATTTTCATGCACTAATGTACGCCCCCTCGCATTTGGAGCATCAGCAGGCGACCCATAGTGATAGGATGGAGCAACTCTTTCATGTGTGTCATTTCTCATAGTTGGCTGCTCAGGAAGAAACTGGTATTCATGGAGAGCCCTAACTGTACCCTGAGCATGAACTGATATTATCAACTTTATGGTTCATAGCATGAGATTTAAAAAGAATAATAAAAGAAGATACAGGAAAAAGCACTGCTCAGATAGGTCAATAAATGATTATCATCTAATAGTCACATCTGATAACCAGCTAACATAGAGAATAAGAGGTTCTATAGCCAATTATAAGAACTTCTAAAAGCCAACTCTAACATGTACTTTGCTGCAGCCAGTGAAGAAAACATATTTTTCTGCTCATAGCATGCACAAAAGGTAGGTGCACTTTACATCTCTCAATATGCCATAAAGCTAGAAGACAAGTAGAGCCATGAAATAGTAAGACAGAAGAATTTGATTCTTCCATTTCCAATTAACCTTGTCACAAATAAAAAGCTGGCCATACCTGACTTGACCATCCTTCAATTCAATAAAAAGCACATGTAACCAATGCAATATAAAGAAAATTATCAAGGAAAAGAAGGGGGATTGGAGAACCCTATATCATTTCTAACAAGGCCAAATAATAATCGAGTAGAGTCTAACCTTGGCTGCTTTTGCATCAGGTCGTTCATACAGCTTGGTTTCAAAAGGCTGTCCAGGTTGGTCATGCTGCACTGTAGTTGATGCTCCTAGTTAAATACAAGAAGTTCATCGAGGGTAAAACACCTTTAGCAAACAGCGATAAACCAACTCAGTTGCTGGCTTAAATAGAAAAATAGAAATAACTTTTGATGTCCTACTTCATTGTTTTCTGATTTTTCATCAATATCTAGAAGTTGTTTCAAACATAGTTTAATTACCAACTCATAAAGTGAAAAATTGAAACTAAAAAAATTCATAGGGGTATACCTATACTATTAAAAAAGAGACAGATAATGGTCCTTACAGTTGTCACTCTATTTTCTGTTGATTGTAAATGCTTAGTTCCTTGATCTGAATCCACATCACCTTTCAGATCATGTTATCCAACCTCATTCCTTGGCCCATTCATAGCAGCAGCAAACATTCTCATCTGATTTTCTCAAAAATTAACAAGTACAACTCCTTGCATTGCAGGCCACTGTATTTCACATTAACAGATGCACCAATGGTGCTTCTATAGCTAATACTAGCAGCTGCCTAAAATCAAGATAAAATCTAGTACTACTTCTATGATCCCTAAACTCGTTAAATTAGAAAATGGTAGTATTAAATAGTTCATCACTTACAAACAACTCTTCAGAGCAAAGAATCCTTAAAATTAAAGTACATTCCCTCTCTTCTCCTCTGCCAACTGTAACAAATGCACAGCTTAAAATGTGCTAAAGAATTTCATTGAGCAAGTCGGGATTCAACTTAAAATGTACTAAAAAATTTCACAACTAAACACAACACAGCGGATTTTTTTAAGCAAGGGCACAGTTTGACTTCAGTTCAACTAACACATACATTCTTCAGCCAAAAAAAAAAAAAAAAGAAATAGAGAGAAAGAAATAAAGAAAGAAAAGAAAAACAAACAAACTAAGAAACCTACCTATTGGGGCACCAAATGCACCAGGTGGCAAGGGATCAAACTCCATTCCAAGAATTGGTCCATCCTCCTTCAACGGCTCTCCGAGCTGTGCCTCCACAAAAGCTATTGCCCGAAACTCAGCTATGGTCTGTGGTGTCTCATAGTACCTGGGTACAGCTACTCCAGGCCTCAGAAACACCCGCCTTGGCTCCACACTATGTCCAAACGGACTAGACCCTGATGCAAGCTCATTTCCCGCCTCACCTCCAGCCACTTCTTCCCCAGTTGCTATCACTGCAGCTGGAGATGAGGAATCCTTCCGTTGCCGCTTTGCTGGCGGCGTCTTCCGGTCCTTCAACCGGCGGTGGCAGAACCACATCTGCAGCTGCCGATCAGAAAGCCCCAATTGCACTGATAACTCCGCGCGCGAGGCTTCTGATGGATAGTTTTCCACTGAAATGGCAAAAAGTTTGCAGCAATTTGTAAAAACTGAAATTTAAAAAAAAAAACATTTGAAGTGTCACTAACTCGCATAGGTCTTCTCCAGAATTTCAAGCTGAGAAGCAGTCTTCATCTTTCTCTTGACTTTCGTTTCCCCTTCCAGCGGCTTCTTCTTCTCCCCCTCTAATCCAACCCCACCACCTCCGCCGCCGCCGCCGCCACTGCCACCACCATCAACCCCGCTCTCCATTTTCCAATATACCAAAAAAAAAAAAAAAAAAACCAATAACAAAAGTCAAATTTTAACTTCACTCTCTTTCTAAAACAACACTCTCTCAGCCCCAGTAGAAGAATGGGATTGAACTTAGCTCCAAATGCAAGAAAAAGCCCTAGAAATCGAGACCCAATTCGCAGTTTCTCTCTCTAAGACTAGGGATTCTTGTGGGTATTAACATCCCCTCTCTCTAATCTTAAAAGGGTAGAAAAAAAAATTAAAAAATGAAAAGACTTTTGTACTCATTTCTCTTTCTAAGAATCGATCATGTTTTGGGTTTAGTGAGAAAGTGTGATTGAGATGTGCGGTTAGATTTGAACAAATATAATCAACAACAAAATCAATTAATAATGAATATTCTACTCTCCAACTAAAAATATTAAAAATAAAAACAGTAGTAATGATAATTTGAAGAAAGATTGTGAATTTTGATTTGAGAAAAGACTAGGAACAAAGAAATCAACAGTTTTTCTTCTCTTTCCAGTAGATCCCATGATGGGTTCTTTTTTTTTTTTTTTTTTAGTTTGGGAGAATATTAATAAATGAGAATTTAGAAAGGGTTTTTGGTATTTGTCAGATGATGCCTCTTTTTTTGAGAGACTGAGAGTGGGAAAGGATTGATTTCCACGGAGTTTTGTGAGTTTGCGGGTTTTGTTCTTGGATTTTTTTTTTTCGTTTCGTATGATGTTTTTGTTTTATTGTAACGGTTTCGTTGCCAATTCTTCTTCGTTTCATCGTCATTCGGTCTGATACGAAGAAAAAATGGTCCGGACACGCGTGGAATATGACGCGCTTAATATACGCGCAGCGAAATTTTTGCACGGTTTTTACCGTATTTACTGGAAAGAAAAAGAGACGGGATTCTTTTACGAGTAATAAATGTCCGTTTGGATTCAAGGGTTTTTTTACCGTCCGAGTTACCGAACAAAAATCATTGTTGTAGTAGATGAGAAGCACCGTGATTCATTTTCATCTATGGATTTATGGAATGTAACTTGGCATATGTTAGTCTCTATAATACATTTTTATTTTAAAAAATATTTTATAATTTAAATTGTATTAATTTATATAATTTAGTCTATTAAATAGTTTAACTTTCTTAATATTGAGGTTACTTTCTTAATATTTTTAAGTTTTTTGTTTTTTTTTTTTATATTAATCTCTTGATATCCAGAAGTTATATTGAGTCTCGATTAATTCAGAATTGCGTTTGGTCGGACTCCATTAAGAAAAAAACTCTCTCAGTGTCTTTTTCTTTATTTACAATATTCAAACTCGATACTTTATTTAATGAAAATCGAGTTTCTTCTACTTGAATCAATAGGTTTTTGATAAAATTTTCTCTTTATTTAATGGTACAAGAACTTTTTTTATATAAGAAAATGACTCCACATTTTCACAAGAAAAGAGTGAAAGTTAAAATATTTTGTCATTTAAGAAATCAAAACTCTTTATAAAATTATTTAAATATTTTTAATAAATATTTTAATTCTTTTTATTATCATCATCGATATTTTAAATTAAAAGATGTCTTAATTTTCCCAATCTCTTTTCATAATACTGCTACTACATAGTATAGTAAACATTTAAGATCAATGATAAATCTGTGATTGAGATATCTAAATTGATATTTATTACTCTATTTATTAATTCATTCTTATGTTAAAAAGTCTATTAATTTTAATTTTGTGTAATTTAATATAAGTTAAATTGCCCAAAATATTTTTCAATTATAAATAATTGTAAAAATCAAGTTTGGTCTCTTATTTAGAATAGATATTATACTAAATTGTTCTTTTTTATATATAACATAATAATTCTAACTTTTGAATTAATTAATTTGATAAACACTTATAAACTTATTATTAGAAAGTAAAATATTTGTGAGTAAATATCATAATATACGCTGACACGTTAGTGATAATGAAACATTATTGCTGTGTATCAAATTGTCATTTGATTAAACAATATCAACACATTACCTTTTAAGGTCTTAAGAGAATCAGAAATGCAAAATAAGTTGCTAAAAAGAATATCACCAACATAAGATGCTTTATTAAACTTTTCCAATGATCAAAGAATTTAACAACATAATACACATCATTGAATTACAAAGTCATTAACATATTACATAATGTTGGTAGCCACTAATGTCCCCAAAAATGCCATGTTGATAAATTCAAACAACATGGAGATGACTTAAAAAGTTATTTAAAAGTTTACCAATAATTACAATTATATTTCAATTGAAACAATTCAATATTATAACATATGTCAATGACATTTTTAAAACTCCACCTCAAGAGGATAGGGTGTGGCCATTGAAAATGTTTGCACCTAAAAAATAATAATTTAATTTAAAATATGCACTCTCAAATATAATTTGTATTTATTTTACCATCTTATTCAACCCTTGAAAATTATTCTATTTTGGGAAGGTTTTTAAACCATTCTTCATAGCAAAAAACTCAAATGGGACTATCATCCATCTAGTTTATTTAAGCAAAACTTAAATTGGAATATACCCACAAAGATTTCCCAAGAATCTGACTTTAATAATTTTGGTTTTGGAATGAATATCACCACTATGATATGTTATGAAACAATAACTCTTTTTAAAGTATTCATGAAATCTAATATTATATTTTTTTTAAGCCTAAGGATTAAATTGACATGAGAATGCATTTTTTAAATTATTAAAAGAATAAGTAATATTAAAATATGTAAAAATATACTAAAACATATCTTAATTAAAAAAAAAAAAAGAGGGAAGAAAAAACAGACTAGGTGCACATATTGTTAAAATTTAAAATGCTAATTGCGAAACAGGAGGGCGTCAACTCCATGCCATCTAGTAAGGAACGCAACGAACAAAACATTGCATACAACACCAATGGCCACAGTCAATGCTGCAATGAGCTGTTTGACCTTCTCGGATGGTTTCGAAATAAAGCACTTTGCTACATTCTAATCAAACAGAGCAATAGCCACAAAAACCAATACAAACACAAACGCATGGAAAAAATCGATGAACCTTAGCTTGTATTTCTCTTTCTCCTTTACTGAAAGCTTCACGAAACCAGCCACCAACCACAACCCTTTAAACGTAGCCACCCTATATCGAACTTTCCCCTCTTGTCTTGAAAACTGTTAATGAAAGGCTTAAGCAAACAGGAGACGATGTAGAGGGCCACCATCCCTAGAATCATGTGTTGGCTTACATTGGTTTGGCATTGATTGTGGTTGGTTAGCATAGGGGAGAGTATTTGGAATGTTAGGACAAAGCTTGTCAAAAGAAGCTTGGCTAAATAGGTTGTCCCCTTGAAGGTTTTTTGACCACCTTCTGCCTCTTTGTCTTTAGCGGCTTCTATGGCGATGTTGCTATAGATTTCGCTGACAAGGGTTGTCGCTTTTCAAGGATGGCCTCTTGGGGTTCTCCATTTTCTAATAGGGATTGTTGGTTTTCCACCTTGATGCCCATTATGGATTGAAAACATGAATTTTTTTTTTGGATTTTTAGACAGTTTATTTTTGTAAGGATTGATGTTATTTATGGGATTAACTAGGGTTTTATAGGGTTTGGAACGAATTACAAATCAAAATTGGACAGAGCTTGTTATTCTAGTTGTTTTTTTCCCAAATTAATAACAATGAAGAGTGAATCAAAACAACTATTGAATGTCATTTTTGTTAAAATGAGTGCCAAGTTCTTGGCTATTACTCTTCACGAATTTGGTTAAAGTTGCTATAAATCTTATAACATTTTCTATTAATATTCAACAAAACTTCACCTTTCAAAATTGAAGGGAGAGAAACCCTTGATAGTCTATTTCTTTTGAGTTAACATTAATGGGCCTTAAAAAACATATACTATCATTGCTCATAATGATCAATGTGAGCTTATTTGTGTAAAAGATAAAATCGATGGGTCTTTCATGATAATCAATATCAGCACATTTCTACAAGAAATAACTATAATTCCAACTAAAATAATTTGGTTGGAAGCCTAGCAAAAGGATGGCGAGCTGCTTTCATTTTTTTAGTTTTTTGAACAGGACAATTTGGGGAAAAGGGAATAGGATCTATATGGTTTAAAGGCACAACCTAGAGAGGTGATCTTCACTTAACCAAATGTCCTAGCCTCTAGGCTAGGGTGTGGAGATCTACTTTCATTTCTGCATAAGTAATGAAGGACAAAGAAATAATCAAGGATCCAATGGCCTCGAGAAAAGTGGGATTGTTTTATGTGCTAAGATGCTTCATACCTCATACCGTTTAATCAAAGTAGGCAAGGCACAAACCAACCCTAGAAAGGTTTTTTTTTTTTTTTTCACAATTTGCAGCCCATGAAAGGAATTTTATACCTTGAAAGACACATTTAGTATAGAGATTGGTAGAGTCAATATCAATAAATGACCTAAGTGTCTTAATGTTGATCTCCTTGTAGAGAAAGAGGTCTTGGATTCGACTGGTTAACAAGCAACCCAACATCTAAAGATTTTATTAAGATCCCTACAATCTCTCCTTGTTAAAATCCCTGAAATTTCTCCTCTAATTAATATGTAAATAGCTATATCTTAGGAGATTATTTTTCTTTATTTGATATCCATTGTAATTTGAAAAACCATTCATAGTTAGAATCAATTTTTAAAGCTTGGCCCGATGATTGACTCGTTTTGGTCACTGGGTTTAGTTAAATCAGTTGAACCAGTTTGATCGATCAAGTCAACCAATCAACCTAATAAATATTATTTAATTCATTTTATCAATTATAAATTATTTTTACTTTAATTGATTTTACTTTTAAAATTGATA